CCCTTGCTGTCTGATGTATCTCCTCACAATGCTGGGAAATGGCACCATCCTGCTGACCGTGAAGGCAAATCAAAGGCTCCACCAGCCCATGTACTACTTCCTTTCGATGCTGGCCACCACGAACCTGGGCCTGACTCTGTCCACCCTGCCCACAGTGCTGCGCGTCTTTTGGTTTGGCACCAGAGAGATCAGCTTCCCGGTCTGCCTCACCCAGATGTTCTGCATCCATGCCTTCACCTTCATGGAGTCCTCGGTGCTTCTGGCCATGGCCTTTGATCGTTATGTGGCCATCTGGAGCCCACTGAGATACTCCTCCATCCTCACCAGTGCCAGGGTTGCAAAGATTGGGCTGGGGATGGTCTGTCGCTCTCTGACGCTGCTCCCACTTCTTTGCCTGCTCACGCGACTGCCGTTCTGCAGGTCCCACGTGCTGTCCCACTCTTACTGCCTGCACCAGGACATGATACGGCTGGCGTGCACAGATTCCACCCTGAACAGTCTATATGGCCTGACCCTGGTGCTGTTCGTGATCCTAGACTCAGTGCTCATCGCCTTCTCCTATGCCATGATCATCAAGGCCGTGCTGGGCATCACCTCCAGAGAGGAGCAGACCAAAGCCCTCAACACTTGTGTCTCTCACTTCTGTGCTGTCCTCATTTTTTATGTCCCCATGGTCGGTCTGTCCATCATACACCGGTACAGGAAGAACGCTGCACCCTTCAGCCACGTGCTCATGGCCAATGTCTATCTTTTTGTGCCACCTGTGTTGAACCCCATCATCTACAGCATGAGAAACAAGCCCATTTGCAAAGGCCTCCTCAGGCTCCTGTGTCAAAGACTGGCCTGACCTGGCCATGGCCAGCAGCCCAGGAGTCCTTGAGAAGTAGGAAGCCTGCCTACATGCAATGTCCATAAAAAGTGACAGGTCAATCAAAAGCAGGAGTTTAAGAGATGGAAAGGGCAGCATGCAAAGGATGCTCTGTCAGCAGAACGTGCTCTAAATGCATCAAAAGCAGGAATCCAGCTAGGAAACTGGTGGACCATTGGTGACCAAAGGTGAGAAGCATACTCAGAGGTGACAGGGCCAGAGCAGAGAAGTTCAGTGAATTATTTGTATTGGATTTCTATACCTGACACTTTCTTCCTAGCAAATGGATTAGAGGATCTTGATCAGTTAGAACTAAATATGGAGGAGGGCTTACCTCAAAGAAATACCCGTTAAATACCACTAACTCCCAGGACCAGGTGTCGTTCACCTTAGTGTCTGGAAGGAGCTCAGGTGTGAAGCTGCAGAGCTGCTGGGCAGGATGCATCACTCTCTTGCAAATGGTCATGGTGCTGCAGGGTGGATCATCCCTTCCACTTCACCTGCCAGAATGGATGAAGTCACGAAGCGTGTGGGTGGACACAAACTGGTAAACACGTACAGGTAAAGCTCTTGCAAAGTCATCCAGGCTACTGCAAGGGGGAACCTGCCACGATGATCCGCTGGACGTTTGTGAGTGCAGCTCCAGCTGGAGGGATCCTGTGGCCATAATACACATGGATGCCCAAAAGCCTTTGACTAAACGCTTTCAATGGAATTCCTTTGGAGGGGGATTGGAGGAAGCTCTCTTCTAGGGATGGGAAGTTGGTGAAGTAAGGGTAGGTCGTTTTCAGTCCAGAGGCGAGTCAGCAGTGGCCTCCCCAGGGGATCTCTGCTACTATTGATTTTATTCTGCATTGTCACCAGTGACCTGGACGAGGGAGCGCACAGTGAACTCTCAAAGCTTGCAGATGGCACTAGGTCAGCCACTGGACTGATAGCAACTGTCTTCTGTGTTTTGATGAGATTGTTAAAACAAACATTAATTGCAATAACAATAAATTCTTGGCTCCACATAGAAGGTGTGCTTCCTTTTGGTGTAACGAGCTTCTGGGTGTACCACAGCCCCAACACACAGAACCACCACAAGGCCTGGTAGCACCTGAATGTGATAAGCTCTGATTTGGATCACAAGTCCTACAGAAGTGGCTCTCAAAGGAAGGAGTTTGAAGCAACTCTTGCTGCATGGTGGTAGGTATATGGAATACATCTGTGGTGGTAGGTATATGGAATACAAACCCATGAAGGTTTGTCAAACCCAGTGCTTATCTTCTTTGGGTCACATCAGTGAAATTGTAACACTGATGACCAGTCAGGTCTCAGTAGGACTTGGAACACGTAGGGTATTTTTTGCTGTTTTTCTGTAATTTTCCTTGGGCATTCATGTGCCCATTTAGAGTTCAGTAAATACCAGTATTCCTTGTTATCACTGATGACCAGTCAGGTCTCAGCAGGACTTGGAACACGTAGGGTGTTTTTTGCTGGTTTTCTGTAATTTCCCTTGGGCATTCATGTGCCAATTTAGAGTTCAGTAAATACCAGTATTCCTTGCTTGTTCTCAGTAATGACAGCTTTCTGTAAGGGAAAAAGAAGGCAGGATTTATTTTGGCCCTTCTCAGCCCCTCCTGGGATGGTAGATGCTGCAGACCTGTGAGGAAGGCACTGGCCTTTGATGTAGAGCCCTGGGCACAGCAGGGCTGCTGCCGGTGACTGCGTTTCGTTCTAAGAGCATGGCACTGCTTCACCTCTCTGGTTTCTAACCTCATGCCAAAGCCATCCTCTTCGAAGAAATGGAAATGGAAGCAGAGAGAGGTATAGGGAGCAGGCAGGATATTCTGGGGTGAAACCAATGGCAACTATTGGCTTTTGGGTGATCTGAGCCACTCTTCTCCAGGCTCTGTCTTGACGAGATCTCCTCCTGGGTGATAGGGGCTTAAACCCAGTGCCCATGGAGGCACCTCGTTTCAGGAGTCCCTGGTGGGAGCTGGCGCTCCTGTTGCTGTACTGGGGCATGGTGGAGCTGCGGTGCAGTGGCTGAGCTGCACCCACTCCCAGCAGCTGGGGATCTGACCTGAACCCTTGTTGCATGGAATTCTGCTCCCATTACCACTGGATGGTATTGCGAGCCCAGTGGTGCTGCACAGGCTCCGTTTCTGTTGGGCGTCTGCATGGAGCCATTAAGTGGCTGGTCCAGGCAGAGCAGATCAACCATCCCAGCTGCTGTGACTCTGCAGCACCCCAGAGTGGGCTGGTTACAGGCCCTGCGAAGCGAAAGGTCTGGTGACTTTCAGCGCCAGCAGCATGATCACAGCTTTCAGGCATGTCTTGTTGGTGCTGGAAGTGTCACCTGGCTGGAACGAGGGGGCTTTGCCATACACCCAGGTCCTCAGACACTTCACAGCCTTAGCAAGCCTGGCTGCAGGTGTCAAAAGCTTGAATAAACAGCTGCTGCACAGACGTAGATCTCTGCTCCAGTGCACGCTGATGTACTAGAGGCCAGATGGCTGAGCACATTTCGGAAGCATTAGATTTTCCCTGCAGATACCTGCCCAGGCAGTGCTGGCCAGGAGGATCAACTCCCTCATTCTGGTAGGAGCTCTGGGTCCTGCTGAGCCAGTGCTGTGCTGAAGGTGGGAAACCTTGACCCTCACAGCTCCATTGCTGTGTCCTCCTTGTCTAAAAAGAAGAGCCATTAGCTTAGGAACCTCAGGCAGTAACAGCTCCTGCAATACTGACCAGGAACATGTAGAAGACTGTAGATACTGCAGCACTTCTTTATACAGCAAAGAAAATGCCATGGGCCTAGAAACAGCGTATGCTTCATCTGCTGCGTGAAAAGAGCTTAAAGGTTCAGGATCCTCAGCAGCCAAACGGATGACAGGGTGGAGTAGAGAGTATCTGAACTTTTATTCATCTGCTGTTCTACCATACACAAAACCTCTTGGGTCTTCTGTGTCCTACATCAGTGCCTTCTTGGAGTGAGAAGTTTGCGTATCCCTCTGCAGATCTGTTTATTTCTTACACCATAACAAACAGGGTACAAGCAGGTAGATATTGGCCATGAGGACATAGAGGAGAGGCAGGTTTCCCAAACCGGTACCCCAAGACAAGCCAATCATCGGGATATAACGAATTAAAAGAGCACAGATATGAGAGACGCAAGTGTTGAGATGCTCTTCTTGGAGGTGACACTCAGCACAGTCTTAATGATCATGACATAGGACAGGATGATAGACAGCAAGTCTAGGCCAAAAGTTGCCAGGACAACAAATAAGCCATGCATAGTGTTCATCTTGATACCTGCAGAGCGCAGTTGGAGTAAGTTGGGGTGCAAACAGAAGAAGTGAGGCAGCACGTGAGACCTGCATAGGACAGCTTCTTCAGAAGTATTGGCAAGGGGACCAAGAGGCTAATGCTCCTCACCATGAGTCCCAACCCGATGACACCTATCCTGGTCTTGGTCAGGATCTTTGCATGCTGCAAGGGGTTGTAGATGGCCATGAAGCAGTTGAAGGCCATGGCCCAGAGCAGTGAAGAACATCTGGGTGAGGCAGGGAACAAACCTGATCTCCTGTGAATCAAAGAGGAGCACACTCATCCCTCTGCGGAGTGTAGACAGAGACACACCAAGCTCTGCAATAGCCAGCGTGGTCGGGAAGAGGTACACGGGCTGGCGGATGCTGCACTCTGCTTTGATGACAGAGGGTTGCACTGTTTCCCAGGATGGAAGTAGAATCACAGAGTCACAGAATGGTTTGTGTTGGAAGGGACCTTCAAGATCATAGAATCATAGAATGGTTAGGGCTGGAAGGGACCTTCAAAGGTCATCTAGTCCAACCCCCCTGCAAGGAACAGGGATATCTCCAACTAGATCAGGTTGCTCAGGGCCTCATCCAACCTGGCCTTGAACGTCTCCTGGGATGGAGCATTCACCACCTCTCTGGGTAACCTGTTCCAGTGTTCTACAACTCTCATGGTAAAAAATTTTTTCCTAATATCCAACCTGAATCTACCTCCCTCTATTTTAAAACCATTACCCCTTGTCCTATCACAGCTGGCCCTCCTGAACAGCCTCTCCCCATCTTTCTTGTAGGCCCCCTTGAGGTACTGGAAGACCGCTATAAGGTCACCCCGGAGCCTCCTCTTCTCCAGGCTGAAGAGCCCCAACTCTTTCAGCCTGTCCTCATAGGAAAGGTGCTCCAGCCCTCGCATCATCTTCGTGGCCCTCCTCTGGACCCTCTCCAACTGGTCCATGTCCTTCTTATGTTGGGGGCTCCAGAACTGGACGCAATACTCCAAGTGAGGTCTCACGAGGGCAGAGTAGAGGGGGAGAATCACCTCCCTCGACCTGCTGGCCACGCTCCTCTTGATGCAGCCCAGGACGCGGTTGGCCTTCTGGGCCGCAAGAGCACATTGCCGGCTCATATTGAGCTTCTCGTCCACCAAAAGATCACCTAATTCCAACCCCCCTGCCATGGGCAGGGACACCCTCCACTACACCAGGTTGCGCAAAGCCTCATCCAACCAGGACCTTGAACACTTCCAGGGATGGGGCAGCCACAGCTTCTCTGGGCAACCAGTTCCAGTGCCTCACCACCCTCATTGTGAAATATTTATTCCTTATATGTAACTGAAGTCTACTCTCTTTCAGTTCAAAGCCATTGCCCCTTGTCTTATCCCTACACACTCGTGTCCAAAGCCCCTCTCCAGCTTTCCTGTAGCCCCTTTAGGTACTGGAAGGTGCCGGAAGGTCTCCCTGGAGCCTTCTCTTCTCCAGGCTGAAGATCCTACGAGAGAATTCACACAAATCATGAAAGAGTAACCATGCCATGAAACAAAGGTTTCTTCACGTCTCTCTCTCACTCTGGTGATGAGGATCCAGACTTCTGAGTTTGCTGAGACAGAGACAGGAGATTTATCTTTGTGATCAGTTCTCTGCAGGGAGACCTACAGTTCCGAAAAGGCAGAAAGCTTATGGAGAT